TGCCCGTCCGTTGGGGGAGGCGATGGTTAGGCATGCGCAGCACGTGACCCAGCCATCTCAATCTATGTAACTGTATAGCCTCGTCGATTGATTTTCCCTCTTTGCCCAACAATCTACGCCTAACGTCAACATTACTTACCTTATTATACCACCTAACGTGAGAAAGAGATCGTAGACATCTCTGATCAAAAACAGTCAACCTTTTCACGTCTTCAACTCGTATTGGCCATGTTTCAGAGTCATAGAGAAGGACACTGTTTGCTGTGTTTTAAGTCCGATGACAGATTGATGTGTCAGTTAGAGAACTGTTGAAAATCAGCAGGGACTACTGGACGATTGTTTCGTCACAGCTTGCTTGTAACTCTTCATCAGTACGCAAACACGACTCCACCGGGGATCGAACCCATAACCTCCAGGTTACGCGACTTAGCTCGTTTACCATTTAGCTACTTGAGTGAGCCGAAAAATTAATGGCCCATAATTTCTAACTTCTGACAATTCCTTAATTTCAACGTGTAACCGTCAGCCGATCTCATCTGTGTAAGTATTTGTCAACGCACCCAACCTGGCGGATTCTGCTGGTCACCACGTCCTGCTTTAACCTCAAGGTAACTTTGTCCTGTGATCAGTTACTAGCGAGCATCAGATTAATTTTCAAGATGAGTTAATTTGTAGGGATTTGATTTGTTTCAAGTGTGATCAAGTTACAGAACCACTGAAAACCAGAAGGGGTTACTTGACAGCTGTTTCTTACTAGTTTGGGACTGTTTTTTAAATAAAACATGCCTTCTTGATTGTATATCTTTATATAATTTAGTGCACTAGTATACTCCCATTTCATATTTGATAAAAAAATAAAATTATTGCAACTCACTAATTAATATTACTTTTTCTGCTTCATTCACCCAATTATTATTATACTCACTCATCACAAATATATACATATATCTTCATACTGTTTAAATATATTTCAATTACACACAACTAATTACGGTGAGTTTGTGTCTGTCACTTGCAGTTGTTTTTTTGTCCTGGTTTCATCATGTTTAGTTTTAAGTTGTTTTTTTTTACTGAGCATGTGTGTGCAAGATCAAATTCATCATCTTACCTAATTTGTCTGTTCATCATCAACTGTGTGTGTGTGTGCGAGCGTGTTGGTGTGATGATTTCGGGTAATTCAATTTTTTTTTCCTGTAACACACATGGTTATCCCCCTGCCCTCCGTTTCTCCTCCTCTCTCACTCTCGATCCCTCCCTCCCCCCATTCCTCCTTCTACGTGCTATTCAAAAGATCAGTTTTCGTATTTTGTCAGTTGCTTTGTGTCGTGTAAAGAAACAAAAAAAGAAAAGAAAATGATTTTCTCTACGTTTTACTTCATGCTTATTGTCTATCACTATGATAAAATAATATGGAACCGTAAACCCACCCTGTTATGTACTTGTCGTCGGTTGATATGACCGCATAGACAGTTGATGTGACCGAGTGATAATACTAACACAATGACAACTCCTCTGATATGCTAAACACTCCTATTTTTGACGGTGGTGGTACCCTCTGCTTCACTGAGCTACGTAAATAACAGAAGACAAAAGCTGGCCTGTGATTTTTAGGATACGATTTTCTAGAAAAAAGATGTTATATATATATATATATATATAAATCGAAATCGGCCCAGGGCAGTGGAAATAGATTGTTCTGATTGGTAGGCGATTCGGCTAGGTCGGTGAAAAAAAAATAAATATTCTGATTGGTTGGGGACTTAACTAAGACCAAGGTAAGAGATAGAAAATGAAATTTTGCAGTTGCCTATCTTTCACAGTGTTCAAAAATAATAATGATAACAATAGTAATAATAATGATACTTTTTGTTTCTCAGCGAAATAATCAGAGATATCTATAACTCTTTAACGTATGAAAAATTTCTTTGAAGGATTTTTCGAAAGGCGCTGAATGTCCTGAGTTGACCAGATGTTCTCTCACTGAACTGTATACACGTTTTTTGGTCTCCTTTTACTATACTAGCCAGGCTGGATAGTGTTCGCGAGCGTGACAGAACATCTGGTCAACTTAGGACATTCAGCGCCTTTCGAAAAATCCTTCAAAGTAATATACAAGATTCAGTCAAACCTATCAAAGGGAGTGAAATCAAGACATCTGGGCATAGCTGAGGCGTTAGCTATCCAAAAGCTCAAAGCCACACTTTGTATGAAAAATTCTCATTTCATGTAATTAAGGATACATGAGTCAGTAAAGACATCTCTATTCGTAAATTCACTTCAAAGATGTATAGCTCTTTGGCAGGTTATATACATATGCAACGTAGACTGACAACAGACCTCAAAGGTTATTGTCAGTTAGTAATAAAGTGCATGATTAATAATTATGTTTGAAAAACTAAGGATAGTTTTATGTAGTCAAGAGGCTGTGCGTCGGTATTTCAGTGGTAGGACCCTCGCCAACCACGCAAGTGGTCTGGGGTTTGATCCCTAGCCGGCGTACTTTTAAACCTCCCCTAGCTGGTAGTAGGACCAGTAAAGAGGAAAGGTTGGTCGTGAGGATAGCAACCCTACCCTGTAAAAATGAAACTGTTGCTACCAGAACTTCAGAGTTTATAGCCTGAAGCCCTATGTTTCAATCGGAATGTGGAGGATTAAAAAATTAAATAAAGAGGGTTGACAAATAATTAGTTCAGTGATGAATAATCGTTGATAGGAGACAATAAAACAAAAAACAGTCTGCAAAAACATAAAAACGTACTTCTTATAGCTTATTATACAGTTATTTAGGAAGACGGAGAACAAAGAGGGAAGAAAAATGGGGAAAAAACATAGTACTAAGGCCATGCTACTAAAAGACTCTGAATGAAACGTTTTTGAACACAAAATTCAGGTTTCTCCTTAAGGATTGCTAAGACTTAAGCTGCATGAAGAAAATGTAGCAGGAGAAATCCTTACGAACGACTTGGTCGTACTTTATATAATACTCTGATAGATATATCCGCTGATGCTGCATAACCAGAAGTAATAATGTATTCTAGAATTGAGCTGTTGACTGTTCTACATCCTCCTCTTGACAGTTGCCATGCCTGTAAGTGTTCATGGGCACATCTAGACTATGTCCTGCTGGTACGCGACCTATGTACTTAGCCCCAATAGAGCAGGTGAATTTGTAAATACACATCGAAGTTGTCAACAGCAGGATCTTGTTTTGGCGAATAACAGCGTGTGTGAAGGTGAGACGTAAAGATGCAACAGAGGACATTCTTCGAATTGCTGTGGACAGGCAGCTTTGGAGGATGTCACTAATTGCATTTCCCTTGAATATCAGATTTGCAATAAGTTTTTTTTTCGGTACATCCAGGTTTTGAGGAGGAGCAATCTTTGCCGTTTTTAGTTTATCGATGAAAAAGGTTTGATATCCATTTTAAATTGGAGTGTTTCTGAAGGATTCCAGTTTGCTTATTCAATACATCTTCAGTCCATATATACGTTAGATTCTCGTTGTAAGAGAGGCGATGAAGTTTCTTTTTCTACTGATTGGAACAAAACTATGGTGGTTTGGTGGATGGTCTTATCCAACTTGGTTTGTGGTAAATCGATCTTTGAAGGCTTCCATATGATTTTCTTGTAAGAATAGTAGCTCTATTCTGAAAAATGCATTGATACAAAATACAGAATTTTCAGCAATTTTCTTATTGTAAGGTATTTACCCTTCGTGTGTAGAATCTTCAAGTAATATAATAAACGACAACATATCAGTTGAAGCGGTTGTTGTCTTATCCGAGGCATGCCTCAATAATCCCCAGTGTTTCTCCTTCATTTCTGTCAGAAAATTTGTAGCAGTATTTTGAAGCCGTATTTGAAAATATGCTTGAGTCTACATTGCGATTCTTAGACATAAGTGTATCGTAAAAACTATTTGAAATGGGGTGAACACAATGTATTTAGGTAGCCCAGTGATTTAAGCCGGCCACTGCGCTTAGCTTGATAGTTTTTAGGTAGATAATGATGACTACACCATTTTAGTTTATTTTGTACATGTCTTAATCTCCTATCATATTTAAATTTTTGTGCATCATTGTTCAGTCCTGTAATACCGCGTGGCTCCGAGTGTTTCTGAAAGTTGAGCGCGTATCCGAGGTTGACATGGAGGTGGTCGTGTGAGGATGAGATGAGAGCTCATATACAATCATGAGGCCACCTGAATAGGACCACAGAGAACACAACAAAACGGAGATGTGCAGCTGAAGTCCTACGTCGCACCTGGAACCCGAAAGGTTCAATAATAATACATTTTGTTATTAATTACCATTGTGTAAATGAAGTAAAAGTGAAATAGTATAGAACTGTAACTTCTCCTCCACCATACTATAGTGCTCTATTTGTATGTCAGACTGTAAACTAAATTGAAACCCAAGAAATGTATGACCGGCTTATAAAATGTGTGTAAATTGCACACACTGGACCTCCTTTGTCCTCTTTTTTTTTTTAAAAAAACAACATTTTTGCTCGATAGTTTTTAATCTTCTTTGGGGGTTGGGTGTAGTTCTAATATGATTTTCTCTGGAAACTCTACGTAAACAAGATTGAATTGCTCTGTGTGTGATGCATGCGAATACCACCCACACATATATATAAATGTATATGTATATGTGCAATCAACAACAAGGCAGTCTCATGACACAATGGTGTACTAAAATCTTAATTATTTACTAATGATCTCTGTTTGTTTAGTTTTACTTTATTTTACAATGAATGTCTCAGCGTTGTCTGTATGATTATTTTTATAGTTTGTTTGTTTGTTGGTTGGTTGGTTTGTCTGTTACTTGTTGTCAACTCATGCTGCTCTAATGATCTCATTATTGCGCATAATTTGATCTGCTTTGCTCATTCAAGTTTGGAATATTTGTACCTTTAAGTAAAACAGGGTTTATATTTACTCGTTTATTTATTGTTGCTTTTTCTTTTTATCTTCCTTGATTATGATGATGCTTTCATAGGCTATGGAACAGGCTCTGCAATATCGTAAAGCTTCTGGACGTAGTATGAGTTCAGGTCTCTTGTATGTGGTTATTGAACAGGCGCATAACCTACCAGTAAGTTATCTTTTTGTTTGTTTATCACTTAAGTATATGTGAATGATTTCAGTTTCTTTTTTAGGATTCTAAGTGGAATATAGAGGGCTTCAACAATATGTCTCCATTACATCCTGTTCTCTCTGTTGTGTTTTTTAAAGTTGGTCGGTCGGTTTTTGACATAGAACTTTGCACATATGTGCGGCAGTTCAAGTCGCCACACTCCCTCCATGTAGCACACAAAGCAAGAGAAGAAAGTAGGAGAAATGCATAATAATATAGACAGTAGACAGAGGTGTGAGACAAAGGTATAGTAATAACGGAGAACAAAACAGTTTAATTGGAAATCATAAGTCACAAGGAGTGGATGCATCTGCACCAGCCATTGAGAACGATTTTGAGCCATGTCACCAATTGTTTCCAGCCATTGGTTTTTACTGTCCTGAGGACCCCAACCAGTCAGGAAGTCTACACCTTCCTACGTGGCTAGCTTAGACTAACTGTTGTAGATTTCATTGACTGGTGCCATGTTTTGGTTTGACCGCCATGTGCTAGCTCTTTTCCAGCCTGACCCTATATCAGCTAACATTGCCCATTGTCGAGGAAGGCGATGACTAGGCATACGTAGCACATGTCCTAACCATCTCAGTCGATGTAATTTCACTGTCTCGTCTATTGATTTCCCCTCCTTACCTAGCACTCAACGCCTAACCTCAATATTGCTCACCTCACGCGGGAGATAGAACGCAGACACCTATGATCGAAGACAGCTAATCTTTTCATGTCTTCCGCTCTCAATGGCCAGGTCTCACAGCCATAAAGGAGGACGGAGCGGACTGATGAGCAGAACACACGCCCTTTGGTAGATAGTCGGATATCACGTCTACTAAGCCAGAGACGGCGTAAACTGGCATATGCGAAACTAGCCCTCTGTATTCGTGCTGACATTTCGTCTGAGATCAACCCGTTGGGGCTGATGGTACTTCCCAAGTAAGTGAAGCGGTCAACGTGCTCTACCACTTCACTTCTTATTTCTAATCTAGGGGTCGGTGTAGACCGATCCTGCAGCATCATCTTACATTTTACAGGGGTGAATCGCATGCCAAACATACGAAGATTGTTGCTCAAGGTGTTTTTTAAAGTTGGCTCCATGATTACCCTGCTCACTACATCTTCTGTGTGTGTCACTCCTGGAAGCACACTCAACTCGCTGTTTTCCATTCGAATTTCACTTAAGGGCCTTGTCACTCGACGGTCTTTGAAGGAAGCGGAAATGAAACTCAATTCAGTTTTTTCACAAACGCAGTAATGGCGTGCCATTTTGAAGTGTAAAATCTAACTTTTTTCTTAACTTTGTGAAATAAGAAAATAGGGTGCCTTATTAGGCCGTTTGGCTTGAATTGATTTGAAACTCTCTGGCTTAGTCCCCCACTCTGGTTGTCCCATTTTTGTATAGGAAATATTAACATAGGAATTGTTTGACGTCTGATAATTCATGTGTACATGTACGTAGGGTCGGACGCGTTGTTGATTCAGCGATAGAATGCTCTCCAACCACGTCACACGTGGTCCGAGATTCGATCCTCGGCTGACGCACTCGTACACCTCGCTAAACCTGTAGAGTAGGGACAGTAAAAAGGGAAGGTTGAACATGAGGCTGGAAACCCTTGTACGTCTGTACAAATGTAACCACTGCTGACGAAACTTCAAAGATATAGCTTGAAGAACTATGTTCCGCTGAGAACATAAAGAAAGGAAAAAAATATGAAAAGGGCCGAACGCAGTCATTATCCTTAAGTAGTTGAATCTGAGTCACCGAATCTCATATGCACATATCAGGTAAGTAAACGATCAAGACAGAGGGGACCTTCAGCTCATAAGAATTAGGTACGCATGTAACTGTAGAAGACAAGAGACTCGGTAACAGAATGTTTATTTGCTAATCGATATGCACATATAGGGAAATTATTTATACTACATATCAAAGTCGTCATTTGCACAGACCTTCCGTGTTGTGCTACTTCTGCCCCGCAACCCTTGTATTGTGTTTCTTTGTCTTCTTTTCGCGTCTCTCATGTTTTGCCTCAATACCTGTTCTTTTGCTCTCTTTGATTTCAAGCCTATCTCTGTGCTATTTGATACTTTTGTGTGCGTCGGTGGCACAGTGGTTAGAACTGTCGCCGACCATGCATATGTTCCGGGGTTCGATCCCCTGCCGACGCACACCCGATATCAATGGTCGGCCTGCAAAATTCGGGCTACCGATATACATGCTGAAAATTCCATACTTGTACTGAAAATACCGTGTGGGGCATCAAGCTGTAATCAAAATAAAAAAAATAAAAAAGTCTTCATATACTACTGATAAATCTTGTCAGAAGCACATACCACGTGCTTACCGGCAGTCAATTTTACTAGATCCATTAATAATAAGCACTGTAACAACAGAAGACAAGGGCCAGGGAACAGATCCTTTATTAGGGAAATCAACACATCTTTATAGATTTTAATGTACATTATTGTAGATTATTGTTAGTAGAAAATGCAGTCTTTTGATTGGTTGTTTCTCACAGAAAGTTAACCTTGCATCTCTTTGTGGCTGTGTCAGATCATCCATGTATCCGCTGACTGTATCCGCCTACGCAAAGCCTTTGTTTTCATTTTCTCACCACCAATATTGGGGACATAAACATTGACGTCATTTATTGTCTACCAACTTTGGCTAGCAGCCAGCTGTCACCACATGATTAATTAAGTGAATTCACTTATTACTATGAGGAGAGGTGTGTCATGCATGAGTGATTCAGTTCTTCTAAATAATATTTTTTTTGCATAACGCTGACTGCCTGTAATTTTGTGTTATGTTACTTACTGCAAGTTTACGTAACCAATATTACCATTATTTCATTTAGTAGGAAGGAGAACTGAGTAGTATAGTAAACTCAGAAGAAAATAGAAGTGGTAACGAACTTTTTTTGTTAGGGAAAAAGTGTGTCATATTTATATCTTGTTATATCGCCAAGGCAGTGCAAGATTCACCACTCTCTTTTTCCGCATACATAGTGATTGCTTTAGCAAAACGTAGCAAGCTATATTTCTTTTGCCGGTGATTATTTTGAACTCGTTGTTTACAAAATGGCCAGTGTCCAATAGGATAGTTAGTACCTTAGGTCCTACTCACCAATTACTCCTTGTCCTCATGAAAAATGTATGCTCAAACTCTTAATACTATATATATATATACAAACATTTTTACATTGTTCAGGTTGTAGCTGGCCAGTTGAGAAGGATTATCGAACTATTAAAGGATGATCTCATATTGGTTACAGGATTTCATCATGAGCTGACATCGGTTAGAGAACCACTGGAAAACCTGGTAGTACTGTACAGCTGTTTCGTCCTAGTTTGTGACTCTCCATCAGTACGCACCCACCGAGGTTCGACCAAGGACTTTCCGGTCACAAGGTGAGCTTGCAGACCATTAAACCATTGAGATCCGACCCAATGGCCAGCCCATGAATTCCAGCTTCTCCCAATTTACGACATAGCGCGACCGCTAGCGAGTGTCTTCGGCGAGTATTTGTCCTCACATCTGACCTGCTGCACCCTACTGGTCACGACGTCCTCCTAGAACCCCAGGTTACTACCTACCTAAATAGAGCCAGTCTCTAGTGAGCATCTCATTGATTTTCAAGTATTGGTTTGTACAGACTTGATTGGGTCGGGTCCCAGTAGCTTAATGGTCTACGAGCTCGTCTTGTAACCGGTAGGTCCTGGGTCCGAGCCCCGGTGGGTGCGTGCTGATGGAGAGTCACAAACTAGTAGGACGAAACAGCTATCCATTACTCCCAGTTGGTTTTCCAATGGTTTTCTAACTGATGCCAGCTGATGATGAAATCCTGTAACCAATCAATCAAATCCCTACAAACCAATACTTGAAAATGATCTCATATTATCTTGTTACATTTGTTTTCCTCGCTTTGTTCAAGTTAACCATAAGTTGTTTTTATCTTTTCTCTCAAATTCATGACTCCGGATCACGTGTTTATTATTATTTTTTCGTTGTTTGTTTTTGTTTGCTTTAGTGCGTAAAACAACTTCAAGAACCATCACCATTTTGTAATTTACATTTGGGACGTGATTATCAATCGAATGATGTAAAGGAGAAAACACAAAATCCAGTTTGGAATTCTGTTCATCACTTTCTTGTTAGTGATCCGAATGTCGATATTCTACAATTGATTGTAAGTTGTTTCTTAACCATTTAACTGATTGATTTTCATCGAAATACTCTCAGCCTCCTGTGTGTGTGTGTGTGTATGTGTATTACCGAATCTCAATGCTAATGAGTTGATACATACTTATGCTTTTAAAACTTACAAATTGTTTTTACAGGGATAATGCTTTGCTTTATTTCCGACTGGAACATAGGAGGGCTTAAAGAGGAAATTTCCATATTTTCCTGTCCTCTGCAGTCCTCTTCGACTGGCCCTTCCGATTACCCTAAGCTTTCATCTCACACGATACCCCTCCATGTCAACCTTAGATACACGTTCAACTCGTCGTTTCACACTCGAGTGGATGGTCTGGCACGTGATGTCACTCGACGGTCTCTTCAGCGTGTGTCCAATCCATCTACATTTTCCTGGGAACATTTGTTGAGTAACTGGCTGTTGATTGGTTCGTTCCCAGCGTTTTTTGTTGCTAATTCTTTTAGGCCAGTAGGCCATCTGGTCTTTAGTATGGGGCCAGAGAAGTAGGTGACTGTTGATTCAAGTCCGCCGCAACCTGTTAGAAATGCCATATATGAATAATAATAATAATAATCATACAACTCAGTAATCGTGTACAGATATGTGTGACTGGTTTGTGAGTCTGTATTAAGGAGATTTAAGCTCCCTAATTTTTCGATATTCAGATGGTAATGCCTGTCATTCTCTGGTTGTGAAAGTAAACAGATATCCTAAAAATCCTATCGTAGCTTAAAAACATGCTTTATTATTATAATTATTCCGTTGGGTTCTGAGTGGAGAAACATAGAGCTTCAACAGCACGTCTTCACTTTGTCCTTTTATCTGCGATCCTCTTTGGCTCTGGCCCCATGATTGCCTACAATCCCTGATCTCCTCCATGTCATCATCAGATTCTCCACTCGTTGGAGGGTTTTGCCATGAAGAATCAAGATGGTCAGAAGCATAGAAGCTATGGAAAAAGGAAAAGTTTACAACCAAAGAAACAACATTGAGCTCTGAGGATAACGCCCGATGCTTGTTCAGTTGCTTGATGGAGTTCATCTGTTTCTGATATAGCTAGATTATTTCACTTGTAGCAATAGACAAAAACCGAGCAGTATCACTAAGTAGTACAAGAATAGACCTGAATGATTCAATGAAACAGATAGAAGAATTGTTGGTATCAAATAACTATCCTATAAAATTCATTAGGAAAATCAGAAAAGGTCAAAAGCAAAATAAAGATAATTGTAAAACTAGTGATGATAAAATAAATAAGACTGAATATAAGGCATCTACTATTTTACTGAATAAGGAGGAGACATCTGAGACCCTACGTAGGATTCTTACTAAAGCAGGAATCAGAGTGGCATATAAACCTACAAACTCACTCAGCGAGGATAAGCTCTGTAGGCTAAAATACCCAGTGGACCCAACCAGACAAAATAATATAATTTACAAAATACCCTGCAATGACTGTGAGTTAAGTCAACTATATAGGTCAGACTAGTAGGTTGTGGGCATTCAGATTGTCGGAACATAAGAATTTAGCTAAGGTAAGAATGGTTGACCCCACGAAGATAAGTAATTTAGAAAAAAGCTCAGCGATTGCACTGTATGCACTAACACACACAATCACACAATTGGGTGGGAGATAGTTAAAATTCTAAGAAGTATTATAGGTAGGTGGAGAGAGAGGTTGATTACTGAATCCTGCCTGGATCATCGACTTCACACCCAACAGATGCAATATGAATGACTCATCACTCATACCGGAAATATGGAAAATACTACTACCAATCAAATCAAGCGATGAATTGAAATAATGGAATTTTATAAACGAAGTTAGAAAGTTGTGTGAGTAGTGCCTTGATATGATTATGAGTGGCAATAAATTGTGCTCGAAACGTGGTCATCAGCAAATAATATTGCTGTATAACAATGTGAAACTTCATGAAAATAAATTTTAGCCATAATGGAGCAATAGACCAACGTCTACCTTAATTTCATAGACTTTGAAAAGGCCTTCAACAGACAGTGTTGACTGCGAAGTAATTTAGGAACTACTTCAACGCCATGCAGTGCAGTACCCTAAATCTGTATCAACCTCATTCAACAGCTGACAATACCACATGTCAAGTGATCCATAACAGAAAACTCATCGAAGACTTTAAAGTGAGGAGAGTAGTAAGACAAGGTTACCTGTTTTTTTATCACCAATTATATTCCTAATTGTGATGGACTGTATATTATGCCGAACACCGTGTATGGGGAACGAGAAGACAGGAATACTCCGGATCGATAAGAAAACTCTATAAGATCTGAACTTCATAGATTATTTATGTTTAATGTCACACAAACTCAAAGACTTATAGGCGAAAATCAATAGCCTGACAGCAGAAGAGGTTGGAGGTATAGACAAGAATTCAAGAGAACATAGAGAGGATGGAATTGATGAAGATGTCCAAAAAACAACTAACAGTGGATCCAAAAAGCTCGAGCTGCTTTCTCTAACTTACACCATCTCTGGCGTAGGCGTGACATCCCCCTACCAACCAGGGGACGTGTGTACTGCTCAACAGTTCGCTACGTCCTTCTCTATGGCTCTGAAACATGGCCAATACGAGTTGAAGAAATGAAAAGGTTAACTGTTTTTGATCATAGATGTCTACGATCTCTTTATCACGTTAGGTGGTGGTATAATAAGGTAAGTAATGTTGACGTTAGGCGTAGAGTGTTGGGCAAAGAGGGAATATCAATCGAAGAGGCTATAAAGTTACATAGATTGAGATGGCTAGGTCACGTGCTGCGCATGCCTAACCATCGCACCCCCCCTCCCCGACGGGCATTACTAGCTGATACAGGTGCAGGTTGAAAAAGAGTAAGTGGTGGCCAAACAAAAACATGGCCTCATCAATCCATGAAATCCTTGACAGTTAAACTGAATCAGGTAGGGAGATGCAGACTTCCGGGTTGGGGCCCTCGGGACTCTAATAATCAATGGCTAGAGACAATAGGTGACCTGGCTCAAAATCGTTGTCAGTGGCGCAGATGTATTCAATCTCTTCAACCTTTCATATTCCTTTCTACCATTACTCATTCTGTTTCACTCTTATACTTGTCGAAACTCTATTGATCCTCTTCACTCATTTTCTTGTCTACCTTTGTGTGATATTTGGAACGTGGCAACTCGAACTGCTGCACTTCAGTGCCAAGTTCTATGTTGAATCCAGACAGACAGAATGGGAGAAGTTTGAAAGAGGTTACTTTCTTCATTTATGTAGCAAGTATCGTTTCAACTACATGCAGTCGGAACAGATGAAGATGCGGAAGACAGAATCCGAAAGGCAAAGTGCACTTTCATCAATCTGAAATCAGTTTTCGAAACCTTCTGCAGTCAGTGCAAACAACAAAATTCGGATTTTCAAAACTGATGTTAAGTCAATCGGTTTTTCTATACTGGTCATAAACTTGGCGTACACACCAAGAAAAGCATTTCCAACAGGCTACTTCAGACTTTTTTCAAAATCTGCCTTCGTGCCATAATGAAGGTTAAGTTCCCAGAAAGAACTAACAACAAGAAACTATGGGGACAAACTTACCAAGAGTCTATCACTCAACAAATATGCTGGAGAAAGAGGATATAGATTAGGCACACGCTGAGGAGACCGTCAAATGACATCGCGTGCAATGTAGGCAGTCGAGTGAAACTTGAATAAGAAACGACGAGTTGGGCGTGGGTCTGAAGGTGAGATGGAGGAGATGAGAGGTTATAGACAATTGTGGAGCCAGCTAGCTGGGAAAGACTGCAGGGATGTGCTTTTGAGGTCCTATGTTCCACGTGGGACTAAATGGAAATAATAACAATAGTGTGGTAAGAGCTGGCTGCTAACCAAAGTTGGTAGACAGTAATTGACGTCAATGTTTATGAACCCAATATTGGTGGTGAGAAAATGAAAACAAAGGCTTTGCGTAGGCGGATACAGTCAGCGGATACATGGATGATCTGACACAGCCACAAAGAGATGCAAGGTTAACTTTCTGTGAGAAACAACCAATCAAAAGACTGCATTTTCTACTAACAATAATCTACAATAATGTACATTAAAATCTATAAAGATGTGTTGATTTCCCTAATAAAGGATCTGTTCCCTGGCCCTTATCTTCTGTTGTTACAATAGTACCTTAAATTCAAACTCCAGTTTGCATTGTTCAATTTTATCCTATAATAATTCTTTCAAAAATCAAGTATAAATTATTGTCCAGTGTAAAAACCTTTATTGTGTTACAAGGTCTTATACGTAACCTTATGAAGACTGAATGAATAGAGTGCGTTGTGTGCTATGTATGATGTCATGTATTTGTGTATTTTTTATCCTCAATTGTATCCCATCATTTCTTTTAAAAATAATTTTCAATCTATTGTAGATTCGAGACAATCGAACCGAAACAAAATTAGGCGCTTGCAATATCCCGCTAAAGATGTTATTAACACAGAAGAATATGTCTGTTACACGACCATTCACTCTACAAGATACAGGTCGTGAAACATCAACTATTTATTTACATTTACAATTATTGGTAAGTTTTAATGATATTTCATCTAAGAAAATATACTACTTTGTGTTTGTTTTTTTCACACCTTTGTAAACTGAACCACCTATTATTATTATTGTTATTATTATTATTACTTTGAGTTCCTAGAGGCGAATAGGGCTTCAGCCACACGTCTCCGCTGCGTTCGGTTCTCCTCCGACGTTTTCACCTGGCTCCACGTCTGCTCACTTGCTTTCATCTCCTCTCCAAATGGCCTCATTGATGTCACCCTCACACTGAAGACCAACTCGCCGCTTCCCATTCTGGTTCCACTCGAGTAACGGCTTGTCGTGTGATGTCACTCAGTCGATGGCTTTCTCAGAGTATAGCCAATCCACCTCCATTTCTTCCTTCATATTTGTTGCACAATCGGTTCCTGCTGGGTTGGCTCGCTCCCAGAGACCCCTCATATTGCTGATCTTTTCTGGCCGGTCATTTGATCTTGAGTGGTATTGAACAAAGACAGGTGTTGATGAAGGTGTGTAGTTTGTTCGAAATTGCCTTCTTGACACGTCAAGTCTCTGATCCGTATAGTAGCACTGACTGACTTCACATTGGAGTTGAAAATCCGGATCTTATTTTTGATGCTGAGTGCTGTTGACCTCCACACAGACTTGAGAGTAGTGAAAGCTTGTCTTGCTTTTCCGATTCTCGCCTTGATATCCTCATCAGTTCCATAGGCCTGTAGGTAAAGGAGGTAGTTTCTTTCAGATTCCTCCCATTTATTCTGATTGTTGTCTGTTGTTGTTGTTGCTGTTGGTGTTGGCCAGGAATCTTCATCACCTCTGTTTTCTCTACGTTCACCTTAGGTCCTATCTTTGATGCCAACTTGTTGCTTTTCGCTTGCATGTCTTCCAGTTTGAGGGAAATCAGACAAATATCATCGGCGAAGTCCAGATCCTCCATTTTTTTATGTGGGTTGATTTTTTGCCTGTCTCCTCGTTGCCCGCTGTCTGTTGCACTACCCAGCCTACCACTAAATGTAGATATTCATCTATTTAGTTTGATGAAATAAAGTGAGTTGGTTATCTTCTTTCAGTACCATTTTCAAAAGAATTGGATTAGGCTAGAAAACGACACGACCGTCGGTACTACACATTTATGTCGTTCTAGTTCGGGGCCTAATTACTTGATAAATTCGGCCAGTGACCACCAGCTGTAGATGCAAACTGAATAGCCACTTCGTTTTCCAGCTTGGGACTCTGCGAGTAAACAGAGGCTGAAATTCAGCCGTCATCTGGCTCCAAAATGTTAGCCGGATGATCAGCGGGTTCTCATTGCAATCTGAAGGTCCTCAGTTGTTTGATCCTTAGTGGAGTTGTTGGTGTCTACTACTGGGGAGGCTATAATTAAGATGAAACAGCTATCGAATGCTCCCTGTACTGCATTTCCCTTTGATTAATTTTATGGGACTAAAATCTGCAGTTTCTGTTGACATGACAGGCCCTCTGGTATGGATATTGTTTTTAGTGATAGTGACTGTCAGTGGACGGCAGGATACGCATTTCATCATATCAGGAGGAAGTTTTCATCAGCTGTCGGCATAGAACTGATTTTCGGGGCGAGCTTTATATATAGTGAGCGAGATGTTAGAATTTCCTTAGTGGACTCTCACAAAATTTTTGTAATTCTCTACTCGAGAATGGATGTCTTCGGGTTCTGGATCGAAGCAAATTATTATAATTATTGTGTTAATGCCTTATTGAAACAAAGTAGGGAAATCTAAATGGGTGTCTGTACTTTCATTACTAGGCTTTTTTCCAACGTTAGTTTGCTAAATCGCTTTCTGTTAGTTGTATTGTCATTTTATGTGTATCTCGACATCCGAATTTATATCCATATATGTTTAGTAAATATGAATGTTTATGTGTGGATTAAAGCATGACATTCTACATGTACTCTGAACGAATTGACTCAATGTACTTTTGTAAATAAAATTCTATATTTTGTAATATGATGGATGCTGACTAGCTGGGGGAATCTAGGATGCACTTTCCATCCTTTTTGGGAATCTCGTCAGCTGGATGAATCTGCATTCCAACTGAGTGATGATGTTCCAAAAACGTTATCCGGGTGACTAATCCCAAACAGGACGAAATACGCATCTTGAACTGCACTACTAGTCGCCATCCACAAAATGAAAACAATTTATCTTCAGGAGTCGTACTCGGAGCCGATATGTCCACAAAGATCGATCACTCCCATCCAATATAATCAATCGAAGGGAAATAAGAAATTCAGTCAAAAAACTAAGAAATGTTTTCAAGTTCGTTCACGAGCTGACATCAATCATTGAAGACCAGCATGGAGTACTGGACAGATGTTTCGTCCCAGTGTGGAACTCTTCATCCGCACCCGCTCGCCAAGGCTTGAACCCAGGACATTCCAGTCATGAGGGAATCTCGTAGACCATTCAACCACTCAGAACTGATCGAATGACTAACCTATGAATTCTAACTTCAATCAATTTGTGATTTTAGCTTGTCCACCAGTCAGTATCATCGGAGAGCATTTGTTCTGACCCCCGATGTGGTGGACCCTATCGGATACGACTTTTCACTAGAACTATAGTCATCTTCATCACTAATGAGCATCGGAATAATTTTTAAGACTTAGTTTGTAGGGATATGATCTGGTTGAGGTTTCATTTATGATTGACGTCAGTTAGTGAACTTTTTGTCAACCAGGGAGTACTGGACAGCCTACTAGTCCTACTAGTTTGGGACTCTTCAGGAATACGCACCCACCATGTTTGTAGCTCAGGAATTCCCGTTTACAAGTCAAACTCATCGACCATCCAGTCACTGAGACTCGATCCACTGTCCAATGAATTCCAAATTTCTATCAATTCATGATTTTATTTTATTGTATTGTACTGGGATTAATAAACTGGTGATTTTGTATCATTAAAATGTTTAGAGTTGAAAACAGTGTGAATTTTGCACAAAACATTTGGTTATATATATACATATATATATATATATATAAAATGAAAATATAGGACACAAAACCATTTACAGATAACGAATATGCGAATAAGCGCACCCAATTTTTCATACTTTAGTAATTTGCCACACCTATTTTTTTATTTTGTTGCATGACCTCTGATCAATATTTGAATGAATGGTTCCACAAACTTATTATCAGTCTATTTTGTTATGCAGTGTAAACAACAATGGTGTACTCTTGTATATTTATTGTTAATGAGAAAGTGGTAGAATAAAAGTCATGGGGTGACTTGGTAAACAGTAAGAAGATCTCGTGTCCCGTTTCCATCCAAAAATATAGTGCAATCGCTGATTTAATTCAGTTTTAGATTTTCCCGTCGATTGATTGGATCGAAGTGCTTGGTCTTAGGTTGACGTGTCAGCTTCTTGAGCAGATGCTTCGATGGTGTCTGGGCAAGTAATTAGAGGTTAAGTGGTGGAGAGTGACTATCAGTGGAATCCAGGATAGCACGCATTTCGTCCTTTTCGGGACTCGTCATCCTGATGTACCTGCATTCCAAAGTGAGTGATGAGCCTCAGTGGGAACATCACTCGCTTAGCTGGATTCCACTGCTAGTCACCATCCACCAATTAACTTCCAATCGCCGATTTGTTTTCTAATTTTTGGAATTTATCTCTAAGCATTGTTTATGTTCTTTTACCCTTATATTTATTTGTTTCGAGGTTTCTTCTAGTAGATATACAGTATTACGCAATCCCTACACTTTATTTTGTATGTGCAATTCTGTTGGTTTTCTTTCATATAGTCTTGATCTTTAGTAGTTACGAGTATAAGGTGCTTTTGACACGAAAGTACACGCTTATGTCATGACACGTCAAGGATTCTCATTATTTCATCTAACGTTTCCTTGCGATAAGGAATCACCGCAGTCTTAACCTGATTCTTGGGGAGGGGGAGGGTGATTATTTGATTCAATTTCAATTTCTCTGCCATTTCTTCTACTCTAGTAACTAGACGCTTAACTTTGTTAACGAGAATCCTTGAAACAGTTACTCTGATGTGGAATAAGTGCATCAGCCTGTAATCTAGGTATCTGTCCGCATGTGTTGGTTTTCTGAATTTATTTATTTTAAATTTACCGTCCAGTTGTGTGTTGTTTGCCGCCTAAATTTTCACAAGTGGGATCTCTTTCATTTCCGCTGAGCAATAAAACCGAGAATTCTACAAGAGTTAGTCTGTAACGATTTGATTTGTTTCAAGTTTGATCACGAGCTGACGTCAGTTACAAAACCACAGTGAGAAGCCATGAACTACTGGACAGCTATTTCGTCCTTGTTTGGGACTCATCATCAGCACTCTACAAACTAACTCTTGAAAAGTAATCTGATAATCACTAGTGACTGAGCTAGAGGACGAAGTTGACTTGAGTTCTATTGAGAAGTTGTGACCACTAGGGTCTATCAAGTCGGGAGTTGAGAACAAATACTCGCCAATGACACTGGCTGGTGGCTGCACTTAAATTACCAATTGGTAGAGGTCAGTCATTGGATTGGATCCGATTAATTGAATGGTACATGGGATTTCCTTGTAGCCGAAAATTCCCAGTTTCAGGTCCTGGTGGTTGCGTACTGCTGAAGAGCCCCAAACTGATAGGATGAAACAGCTGTTCAGCACTCTCTGCTGCTTTTCAATGGTTCTCTAACTGATGTTAGCTTGCTATCAAACTTAAGAAAATAGAAAATGTAGAAATCTGCATCCATAATAGCGTTTCCAAAATGTAATGAAATGGATTGAGCTTTCACATCTACAAAGATTTCGCGAAAAATGTAGTGATAACGGATATGTTGGCAAATAAACATTTCTACTCTCTATCGTTCGGTGCATGAGGTGAACAAACAGATTGTGTGTTGTTCATAAACTCTGTAGTCCACTGATTGGCAGAAGTGGCAGTCATCAGACCCATTAAGGCGTTATTGCTTTTTTTGTGGTGTTTTTTGTAAAATGGGTTTAAATTTTGTGCATGTTCATTCCTATGAAATATCGGGAGGCGTCAAAGAAAAAGCTTCACAGTATGTGAATCAACTCCTATGGCTTAATGTGTTTGTTGTGCCCAGTATATCGTTTCCCATGTTACTGTTGTAACACAGTGTTACCGGTTTTATTGATTATCGTTTAACCTGACTAGAATTCACTTACAGGCACGAAACTCTATCCAACTGGTCACTGGGGAATATTCCCCACTCTAAGATAGACACAGAAATCATATTTAACTGCAAAAACAATTACAACTTTTCTTATAATTCAAAATACTGGGTATGTCAAATATCCAGGTCACAGAGATCCTGGGCCTGGCGCTGGTTTCAGAAGACTAAGCCTAGTACGCAGGACACTATGCACTGCACAACAACAGAAAACGGTTGGGCGACATGATTGTGTTTATTCTTCAAACGATAATGAAACAGATTTACAATGGTTAATCAGTGCCAGTCTGTAAATAAATGTTAATATAATATACAACAATACTTCTGATCGTATTTCTCCAATCTTCTGCCAACCAGTACACGATTAAGCAGTGACAGCCTTCTTGTCTCCCGCCAATATGGAGACCACCAGTTCGAACGATGCAATGTTCACCAGCATTGACAGGGTATATACATCTAGTTTATTACGAATCCTTTGAGAAATTCAAGCCATTCATAAATAATCAATATATGACTTGTTATTTGACCTTGAAAGTTTAAAAATGAGCCAATCAAAAGTTGACCAGTCAGGTTATCATTTTATCGCATGCATCAAATCATGATTTCACGGCTATCACCGATTGGTTGTCCATCCAGCATTATTTTAACATATCTTCAAGTAGGGGACCATTGAAGATATTTGCAAGTCTGGGTACTCTCCGGTTATGATAGTGACAAATGATGAATTCTGTTTATTTATTTATTTTATTATTACCTATTCCCATTATGGGCAACAGTAAAGAATTGACACTAAAATGGAATGACTTTGAACCGACGAATCAGATTCTCCTGGGTGAAAAGTGACATTTATTGTATAAAAGAAGTGCATTATAAGATATATGTGTAATAAAAATGAATTATATAGGGTATGTATCTCTAAAATACTGCGAAAACTGGTCTCAGTTTCTCATAACAGTGTCTATAAACATATCAAACCAATGTCGATACAACAATTCATCTAAGTGACTGTATATCATATCGTGTCGGGAACCATTTACTCTTATAATACATTTTTTAGATGGACTCAAAATCCTTCAATATAGTTTGTATTAGTCCCACTTATAGGATCCACCAATTCAGATGAATGATTGACAAATCCGACCGGGCAGTCTAAACCTCTCTACGTGGCTGGCTGAAGCTAACTGTCAAAGACTTCACAGACGGGTTCCAGGTTTTGATTTCACTAACTCTAACTCTATTACAATCCAATCCAATGTCAGCTAACATTACTCGTCGTCAAGGCGATATCTTGAGATGTGTAACATATATCCTATCCATCTCAATCGATGCATAGCTTCACAATGTCATCGATTGATATTCTCTCCCCTCTCCACGCCTAACCTCAATAGTACTCATCATGTTGTAGCATTTAACAAACGTGAGACAGAAAGCAAACATAGTTAGTCAACTGATAGTGTGTTTCTTAGTCTTACTCTAATGCTTGTGCTATAGTAAACTTGCGTAATAAATGTTTACCTCCAATTAAATTAATTTTGTTTATTTCAGGTTTTACTTCCTGGACAACGACAAAGTTCCAATAGTTATATTAATACAGATTTAAAAAGTGGTCAGTCTACTGAAGGACATCAGCAGAAGCCAATTGCTGCTTCTGCTGCCGCTGCTACTACTCCACTTAATAAGTCTGATGAAGTATCTGTGGAGAATGAAGATATGGCTGTTAGACAACGTAAATCTGAGAATGATGTAAGTACGTTATATAATGCTAATTAGAAAGTACATGCAAATATATATTATTGGAAACATTTTCTATGTGTGAAGAAAGTTGTTTTCCATTCCTTCTGAATTGAAGGTGAATCTAGCCAACTCTATTTTTCCTTGGATATCATCGTTATGTGTGTTGTATTGAACTTTGAGACTTTCTTATTGTCATCCAGTTTCTTACCTGCAGAATTTGTCTACTAGTGAGTAGTAGACTATGGTTTCAATAATCAGTATTGAATGGAGTTTTGTATTGTCTTGCAGTGTAAACCGAAATCAAGTGCTCAGTGATTGGTTAACGAATATAAAATGTAGATTATATATAAACAGTGGTTCGAATAATGAAAGCTATACCTTGGCTTTCGTGTCTTGCCTTCTGTTGTTGTTACAAAGGAACACTGAAAATCTGTTTTTCATACGGCAAAACTCATTTATATTTTTATTTTGTTTTGCTGGCCCAATATCGATTGGAAAATTTAAGGCGTTTGACAGTAACATCATGTTAGAAGATCAATGACTGACTGACTGGTTTCAATACAGAACTTTGCAATGATGGGCAGCAGTTCAAGGCACCACACTCACTCCATGTAGTACACAAAGCAAGAGAAGAAAGTAAAAAGGAATGCAAAACAGGGACATTAAACAGGGATATGAGGCAAGAAGAATAGTAATAATGAAGAACCACATAGTTTTATTGGGTGTTATAAGTCACAAGGAGTGGATGCATCTGCGCCAGCCATTGAGAACGATTTTGAGCCATATCACCAATTGTCTCCGGCTATTGGTGTTTCCCGTCCCGAGGACCCCAACCAGTCAGGATGTCTACACCTTCCTACGTGGCAGCTGGCTCAAACTTATTGTTGTGGATTTCATTGACTGTTGAAACCATGTTTTGGTTTAACCACCACTAGCTCTTTAACAGTGTGACCCTATGTCAGCTAACATTGTCCGTTGAGGAAGGCGATGGCTAGGCATACGTAACACATGTCCTAACCATCTCAGTTGATGTAATTTCACAGTTTCGTCTATTGATTTCCCCGCCTTACCTAGCACTCGACGCATAACCTCAATATCGCTCACCCTATTATACCATTTCACACGGGAGATAGAAAGCAAGCACCTATAATCAAAGACAGCTGGCCTTTTCATGTCCTTTACTCTCAATGGCCAGGTCTCACACCCATAAAGGAGGACGGAGCGGACTGTTGAGCAGTACACACGCCCTTTGATCGACAGCCAGCCGGATATCACGTGCACTCCAAAGACGGCGTAAACTGGCATATGTGAATCGAGCCTTCTGTATCTGTTCTGAGATTTCGTCAACAATCAACCCGTTGGCACTGGCTAATGCAACTTCCCAAATAAGTGAAGTGGTCAACATGCTCCACCAACCATTTCCCCCCTGCCTATCTTTAAGCCAGGAGCCAATGTAGTCCAGTCCTGTAGCATCATCTTACATTTGGCGGTAGCGAACCGCATGCCAAACATTCGCAGATTGCAAATCGTGGTGTTCAGAAGACTCTGCATTTTGTCAGCGTCTTCACCTAGAAGGACTATATCATCTGCATATTCTAAGTTAACGAGATTATTCCCTGGTAACAAGTCAATCCCGGAGACGCTGAAGTGAGTTAGGGTTAAGTCCATTAGTACATCTGTGATGAAATTGAATAGAAATGGGTATAGTGAGCATCCCTCGTCAAGGCGCACCACTAGTTGTCACCACTTCAGATGACAACTCGCCGTAAGCTCTCACCTGGCTTCATGAATTCAAGGAGAGTGCCTTGATCAGTGCAATGCATTTTCTCGGCACTCCCTTTACAGCCAAGCATCGCCAGAGTACCTTTCGGTCGACAGAATCGAATTCCGTCTTTAGGTCAAGAAATATAACGATTGTTGGACGCCGCCGGTAAGTATGCTTATGTTCCAGAATCTGTTGAAGGGTGAAGATATGATCAATACACACATATCTATTCAACACATTATAATTTCTACATTTTTTAAAATCTTTCCATCAAATTTAGGAAATGGTTTCTTCAACAGAATCTCTATCAACCAACTTCAATGTACAGTCAGCTCAACAACAGATGACGAATCATCTTAGCGGCAGTATGCAACAAATAAGCAATTCATCTTTGGGCCGTATACGTCTAACTATTCAATATCATACTAATTCAAATTCTTTAGAAGTAACAGTACACGAAGCTCAGTAAGTCATCTAATCACCTATACCTTGTGGTTTCATTTTTTTTCTAATGTAAATTAAGGTAAATTCTCAATTCAAAATGATTCACTGTGATCATGTTATAAACAACTGAAATTTACTTTGTTAAATATTCAAGAACTTATGTATTTTAAACTAGACTTTAAGCGGCATATTTTGCGTCTAAAACTGATACACTGTTTTATAATAATAGCAAATGTGTTCAATATTCTTGTTTCCATTGTATTCTGATAGCATTACTTTAATGAGACACTTTAACGACTCACTAAACTTAAACAAACGTCTGATAATATGATCTTTCCAAGTGACTACATTTGTGGAACAAAGCAAACAGTAAGGAACTTATCGGCAGTGCGCATCCACCGCCAGAGTTCGAACCCAGGACCTTTTGGTTACAACGCAAGCTCTGCTAATTCGTGATTTTAGCGCGATCACAAGCCAATGTCATTGGCGAGTATTCGTCCTCACTCCCGACCGGATGGACCCCAATGGTGATAAGTTCTCACCAGAACCACAGGAAACTCCGTCCTATAGCCAGTCACTAGCGAGCATCAGATTAATCTTCAAGAAGAGTTATTCTGTAAGGCTTGATCACGGAACAATATCATTTAGAGAACCGCTGAAAACCAGCAGAGAATGCCGGACAGCTCTGTCATCCTACTAGCTTGAAACTCATCTGCAGTGTACACTTACCGCCAGGGTTAAAACCCAGTACCTTCCGGTTACAAGGCGAGCTTTTGCACCACTGGTCCACTGGGACTCGATTCAATGGTCCATGAATTTTAACTTCTGTCATTTCGCAATATTAGCGCAAGCACCAGCCAAATTTCAATGGTTCTCTAACTAATATAAATCCGTGATCGAACGTGAAACAAATCAGATCCCTACAGATTAACTCTTGAAAAGAAGTAAACTTGTTTGTCACTATTTTATTATCATTATTGTTCCCTTGGGTTCGTAGTGGAACATAGGGCTTCAACTACACGTCTCCACTTGCTTCTGTCTTCTGCTGTACTTTTCACCTGCATCCATGTTAGTCCATACTGTTTCAGTTCCTCTTCACACGATCTCCTCCATGTCACCCTTGCACTGACGTCCCACTCCCCGCTTCCCTTTCGGGTTCCACTCGAGCATTGGCCTGACGCGCGATGTCACCCAGTGGCCTCCTCAGCGAGTGTCCAATCCGTCTCCACTTTCTCCTGCATATTTGTTGGGCGATTGGTTCTTGTTTTGTTTGTCCCCATAGTTTCTTGTTGGTGATTCTTTCTGGCCATCTGATCTTGAGTATAGAACGAAGACAGTTGTTGGTCAAGGTCTGCAACAGGCTGTTGGAAATATTGTTTGCGACACACTGGCCAAGTTTCTGATCCGTATAGAAGAACTGGCTGACTTGACGTTTGTGTTGAAAATCCGAATTTTGTTGTTGAGTGTTGCTGAGTGACGAAGATTTCCAGATTGGTTTCAGGTTGATGAATGTGTTTCTCGCCTTCCCGATTCTCGATTTGACATACTCGTCGTCTGTTCCTCCTGTAGTTGAGACAATGCTCCCTAGATAAGTGAATGAAGTAACCTCTTTCAAATCCCTCCCGTTGATGGTGATTGGCAGCGCTGGATGTTGCTGCTGCTGCTGCTGTTGTTGCTGGTTGGTTATTTTCATAACCTCCGTCTTGTCTATGTTCACCTGGAGTCCTGTCTTTGCTGCTTCTTAGACCAGTTTGTCGGTTTTCGCTTGTAAGTCTTCGATTTTGTGTGACATCAAACATAAATCATCCACACGCGAAATCCAGGTCTTTACGGATCTTGACGTCTGTTCAGGATATCCCTGTCTTCTCGTTTCACACTGTCTGACGCATTTTCACTATTTTATGATGACTATTATTGTCAAATATCGACGAATAATGATTTACTTTAAAAAAAAATTTGATTTGAATAAATCCATCTATGCTTATACTAATAAATGTGCTTCACAATCGATGAAATCATGAGAAATGACTTGATAATTAGCGCATCTATAAATTGCTTCAGTTGATTAGGTCAAAAGAATGATTAGTTTTGAATTTTTTCCTTTATTATAAACAGGTGTTTAAAAGCTAAATTAATGCTTCCTATTTTGAGATAAAACTATAGTTTCACATTTTCATAGCTCTGTACAATGGTATTTATAATGTGAATTAAGGTAGATATTTAGATTATGAGATTTGTGGGGATTTACAAACAACGACAACAACAACAAGTTACAGACTTCTAACAACAGCTGCAATCTTCGCTGGCTGGCTCATACTGAAGATCAAATGGCCAGTTGGCTGGCCAGAAAGAATGAGCAACAAGAAACTCTGGCTGATGACGAACTGATCAAGAGCCGATTGCTCAACAAATATGTAGGGGAAAATGGAGATGGATAGGGCATACGTTGAGGTGGCCATCGAATGCCATCGCGCGCAATGCAGGCCATAGCTCGAGTGGAATCCCTATGGGAAGTGACGAATGGGTCGTCAGTGAGAGGGTGACATAGGGGAGGTTGTGTGAGTTGGAGGAGGAGATGAAAGATTATGGCGAATCGTGAAGCCAACTGAAGAGGACAACAACCCAAGGGAATAATAATAGCGTACATTAATTTAATTTCAGTTGTAAGATTGCTTTACTAGCCATCATCAGCTGGGGAGACCATTGAAACCCAGGCTGCTGACTGATGAAGAGTTCCAAAATAAGACGAGATAGTTTTCTTATGCTTCCTGGTTTTTTAGTGATCTCAGGATCCCCGATGTTACCTCCCAATGAAATCTAACGTTTGAAATTAAGTTATGATGGACAATAACAGTAGGATGGGGTTAAAAACTATCGTGAGGTGCCTTCGTGACATAGTATAGCAAATGCCTCAACAAATATTCCAGCTGTGTAGAAATGTTAATAAAACACCTTTAAAACAGTCAAAAATAACATATCATACGGCTATAGTATTTATTTAAGCGTGTAGTACAAGCTTAGCAAGTTTGTTTTGCTACAGCTTATGTACTCACTGAATAACAAGTAGTTTTGTTGTGTGTGTGTGTGTGCGTATCTGTTAAAATATTCCAGTGCTTGCAAATATTAAAATGCGCTGATATTAGTGTGAGTGATTATGAATTACAGATTGATTAGAAATATCCCCAGCTCACTGATATTTACTTGATGGATTCGCTGAAGTTGCAGTGGCACGTTGTGGCTAGTGAGGCCCACCATGTCAAGGTGAAGTGGAGGATGCTCATCGAGGGCAATATTTCAATGGTCATAATTCAAGGATCGTTGAATTCCAGCCCAAGTGGTTGAATGATCAGCTAGCTTAGTCTTGCAACCTAAAGGTCCTGGGTTCGAATCTTGATGGTGGGGTCATGTGTTTTCACTGATGAAGAGTTGCAAACGAGGCCGAAACAGCTGTCCATCTCTAACTCCCTGCTGGTTTTCAATTATCTCTTTATCTGATGTGTTGGTTCGTGATGGAGATCTAACATTTGAAATTAACCAAAAATCCTCACAAATCCTATAATTTGGTTTAGAAATATGAATAAATAAAAGAAAAGTCAACACTAAGTTTTATAGATATGCGTCAAAAAAAAAGATGTTGGGAAGTTTAAGTACAATCGGAAATGTAAATATGTAATACCAAATGCATTAAGGTGAGTGAAGAAAGTGTCTTCAATAAAATAAAATGAATAAAGTGTTAGAATATGATAACGTAAAGTAAAATAAAACAACATATCACATGATAAAATAAAAACTATGGTAACGAAAGTAATTGTCTAAGTTGTTTTTACACATGAAGTTCTGGTGGAAACCTAAAGAATATAGCAACCACGTAGTGCAAATGCACGCGCGATCTTGAAAAGCACCAATGAGGAAAGGACGTTTATTTAGAGTAAAAATACTTGTAATAATAATAGTAATAATAATAATAATGAAGTACATTAAAGAGGCCATTTCTCCTGATGTGAGTCAAAAATATTGTAACAACAGCAGACAAAGGCCAGGTAACAGATCGTTTATTAAGGAAATCAACACATATTTATAGATTTTCATGTTCATTATTATAGATTATAGTTAGCAGAAAAACACAGTCTTCTAATTGGTTGTTTCTCACTGAAAGTTAATCTTTCATCTGTTTGTGGCTGTTTCTTGAATGTTCAGATCATCTATCTGCTAACTGTATCCGCCTACGCAAAGTCTGCTATGGTTGGTTGTTGAGTCAGTCTTTGTTCTTATTTTTCTCATGACTAATACTGGGTGACGTAAAAAAACAAAATTCGGATTTTCAATACAAACGTCAAGTCAGTTCTTCTATACGAATCAGAAACTTGGCCAGTGTGTCGCAAACAATATTTCCAACAGCCTGTTGCAGACCTTGACCAACAACTGTCTTCGTTCTATACTCAAGATCAGATGGCCAGAAAGAATCACCAACAAGAAACTATGGGGACAAACAAAACAAGAACCAATCGCCCAACAAATATGCAGGAGAAAGTGGAGACGGATTGGACACTCGCTGAGGAGGCCACTGGGTGACATCGCGCGTCAGGCCAATGCTCGAGTGGAACCCGAAAGGGAAGCGGGGAGTGGGACGTCAGTGCAAGGGTGACATGGAGGAGATCGTGTGAAGAGGAACTGAAACAGTATGGACTAACATGGATGCAGGTGAAAAGTACAGCAGAAGACAGAAGCAAGTGGAGACGTGTAGTTGAAGCCCTATGTTCCACTACGAACCCAAGGGAACAATAATAATAATAATAAACATTGACGAAAATTACTGTTTACCAATTTTGGCTAGCTGCCAGCTCTCACCACAATATTTCCCAATTACGATGAGGAGTATCACATCTAAATTTAAACCAGTTCCTATATACATATACTCATCGAGATGACAGAAAATGACAGTTTTTTGTTAGCCGGTTATCGGACGAATCCTTTTCTTCAGCCCCTCCCCCAAGAGCCTTTGATGGAATTAGTATGCATTCCAGTGCTGGGATCGACAAAGGTATCTGAATGATTGACACGATGATTGATGAAATTCAAATCTGATAATCGATTGTATCCTGCCCATTCTTCTGTATGAATTATACTAACCGTTGTATAACAGGTGGGAGAGTCTTCACACTATGATTTGGAATTATCTCCATAATGTTAGTGTCGTAAAGTCCTGATACCTACACATCATTAGCCCTAGGGCGACCATGGTTGTACTTCTTCTTCTTCTTCTTATTTATCAAGACAATTTCATCTATATGAACAATAATTCCCTCTCCTTCGAAAAGCAGCTAGCTGCATGGTGGTATTGATCTTCCCCAACGCTATATCCCTACAGTGCTGGTACTACTAGATAGCAGAAACCAACAGATTGCCGGCTGTGGTTGTCAACTCAGTCTTCGTAACGCAATAATGACAGATGAAAAGTATATTAGTCAGCGATAACTTTGATTTTGGAAGGAAAGTTCCTAGAAATCAAACTGACTTACCATTTTGAACACTAATTCTCTTTTTTTCACAGCCTGAACATTTGAATACATATCCATCAATTGCATCTGAAAAACGATAGATACACATACAACCTTCAGAAGAGCATCTGAAATTGTGTGCCGTCAGGGTAAAGTTAAACTTTAAGCACCAGTAAGCACCAACGGGCAAATGACCTTGAACGCGACTTTTGCTTATAAAATACATATATTCATGAAAATAATGGATTAAAAGGCATGAAGCTGTTACACGGGATTCCCTTCTCTGGCATGTGATAGAAATATCCCTCAGTTTTGGATCGGAGTATCAACAGAGTAATTTAACCACACTCTATGCATGTAATTATCTGGGTCTTCTAACCCTAACAATGACCCTTATCTTTCCTTAACCTAATATAAACGTGAAAATATCCCTAAACTAACCCTACTTTAACTCGAACCAACTTTAATGTTGCCCTTATTTGGTTAACCTAACCCTAACCCATCCTTAGCCTAAACCTTAACTTAGTCTCTCCCCAAATGTAACCTGAAACTTACCATATTTCCCATTTAATAACATAGTAACACTTCATTAAGCATATTGATGACAGATTGATGACAATGATATAGGAATTAAATCAGAAATTAAGTATCTTGGACTTATTCTCTCTTCTGATCTCTCCTGGTCTTCCCATGTCTCAGCGATCTCCAGTAAAATATTCCGCCTGACATTTTACATTAAGAAGTTAAGGCACTCGGGTATAACTCCACTTACAGTTCATAAACTCCTGCATCCTACCTATTCTTCTTTATTGTTCACCCTTATTCTTTCCTGGTTTGCTTAAAAAGGACTTTGTCACAATTCGTAGAATGCTGAAGACTGTCAGTAGGATGAGTGGTGTCCCAGTGGACTACATAGTTAACGACGTTGTCGACAGGCATTTGACTTCGTGCAGTAAATTTGCTAAAGGGATTTTGTCTGACTTGGAGCATCCACTTTACCCTCAGCTTTCACCTTGCATCTCCTCAGGTAGAACAAGAAGTAACTTCAGAAAACTGTATGCTCGCACGTCTAAGTATCAAAATTCTATGATACCATACTTGGCACGTATTTTATTTGATGAAAATAGCGTCAGGCAAGAAATGACTAACCTTTTTTTATCTAGTAAATAAACAATCGCCTCCATCCATCTTCATATACCTTCAAGTTTTATTTTTATGATTTCTATTATATTTATGGTCCTGTTGATTCTTTGTTTTCACTTTCATAACTGCAAGCACCAACTTATCTCTATGACTGCTGTAATCTTTGTTTTTTCCCTCACCATATCATGTAAAGAAAACATCATATTCAATATTTTTAATCATGCAAGGATTTGTATACCGCATCGACAATACTGTGTGAAACAAGCCCACGGCAATTTCCACTTGTATTATTATCATTACCTTAGCTGCTATCATTATTATTATTTCCACTTTATATGCTGCATGTTTTTTTGTTTTTTATTTTTTTTATATTAACCCTATTGTAAATGTAGAAAAATTTTCTGTGTGATTAATTTTATTTATAATTTGAGGAAATTAGATGCAATATTATTGTGATTAATGCTGAAAATTCCATTCTGTACCACAAGTACTATTTTGGGAATAAAGTAAATTATTATTATTATTATTCATGGGTACAATATTATTCACCAGGTTTCACTAACTTGCTCACTAAGTGTTTCAAGGTCACCGGTGTGTTCGCACTCCACTGGTAATTACTGGTGCTTAAAGTTTAATTTGGCCAAAACAAGCTGTGGATGAAATTTACACGCAGTGTTCATACTGGCTGTGTAATAGGACTGAGTCCTGTAATCCAACGGACGTTGAGCGTTCAAGGTCACTGATACGTTCTCACTCCATGGTCGCTATTCTTTAGGTTGGCTTTTCTAGTTTTATATTATGTACTGACAAGGTTTGCGTTGTTCAAAGCATATGCATTCGTGCCCCTTTCAGTAAACTTTGTCGGATCTTGTAGATGATGGTAAAGGATGCATCAGAAGCTGCGGCTTGCTGCTGAGTGGTCATTACCTACTACTATACATGTTACACTGAAAATAAAATAAAATTCTTGTCCACTAAAATCTTTGAACCAGAAATCAGTATAAAATAATCTATGCTGGTACAACCAAGTACAGGAACTCAACGATACCATATTTGGCCCGTGTTCTAAGCGACAGAGACAATGTTAAGAGTGAAACCTATGACTTGCTTTGTTGTTAATAACATAATTTTAGACTCTTTTATTTCTCTCTTATTTTGTATTCTATAGTGAACTCCTTCTTAAACATAGTTAGCTACCTAAATTATTAACATTGGCTTACTTTTTTGTACTTTACTCTATTCCTTCTTTTGTGTATCCACTGGTTCCGACTATATTAGCACTATGAGTAGTACAAAATTTTCCTGTCATTAACCATCATGTAATTATTAGTTTTGTGGTTGTTTTTTCTTATTTTTTATTTTTTCATTTTTTTTCGGCAATATTAACTGACAATCATTGGTTGTGAACGCCATTGTCACCACCTTAAAATTTTGTATTATAGGAAGCTATATGCCAGGACTACCAAGTATAAAAACTCCACAATACCTTATCTGGCACAGCTGTTATGTGATGAGAAAACTGTTAGGCATGACATGATCAATTTACTGCGGCACTCTAACAAATAGTTCCCATTAGCTTTTGTTCTCCTTTCTTTGTTACTATTATATTGTTGCTCATATATTCTATTACAGACTAATTTTATATATCGTATCCTGTGGTGCACTGTTTAAATATGTGAATGCAATGCTGTTCTTTTTTTATTTTATTTCTTTTATTTCTCATTTTCTTTTTGTTGTTGTTGCTTTATATTTCTAAATCCTTATAAAATTTATGAGGTAATTAGATGCAATATTGTAATGAACGCTGAAAATTCCATACCTGTACCACAAATACTGTTTGGAATAAAGCCATTATTATTATTATTATTATTATTATTATTATTACTCACACTACCACTACAAACACTGCATTAGACCTGACAATAGAAAACAAAACAACAACCCTGAAATGTTGTTTTACCCAAATTAACTAATCATCTTGGCGATAAACATTCTTAAATATCATTTCATAACTTCTTCTATGACTATAGCTTCACTGTCACCATGCATAATCATATCATAGCTTCCACTACCCAATACTGAGTTACTATTACATGCTGTTTATTTTCGTTTCTACTTCTTGGTATTTTTTTCGCATTTTTTTATTACTTTTGTGTTTGTTTTTGTTTTGTTGTTGTTGCCTTTATATTTATTTATTTTGAAATACTCCTTTTAAATGTTTGATAAAATTAGATGCAAATATTGTAGATATGTGCTGAAAATTCCACACTGTACCACTAGTACTGTTTCTGGAATAAAGCAAATTATTATTATTATTTCATGCTTCATATTACTATTATTATCTGTAAATGTTTGATACTTTTAAACCTGTTTATACTTGAAAGAATTCCAGTGAAGTACATACATCATGTTTCACTTTGACTTTCATTGATGAATACTTTTCCTTCCTATCTTTTTTATCTATAGACATTTAACTGGTGTTGATAAAGATGGATTGTCTGATCCATATGTAAAACTTTATCTATTGGATTTGCATGGAAATGTTGTCAGTGATTCAAAGAAGACAAAAACACTGAAAGATAATTTAAATCCAGTATACGAAGAAAAGTAAGTTTGATAGTAATAATAATAATAATGTATGAAAAATGTAAAATGCTGCTGCAGGAATGGACTGCACCAACCCTCCTAGCTTAAAGACAACAGTTAGTCTAGGCCACGTAGGAAGGTGTAGAGTGGTTGACTGCTTGGGGTCCTCGGGACAGTAAAAACCAATGGTTGGAAACAATTGGTGACATGGCTCAAAATCGTTCTCAATGGCTGGTGCAGATGCATCCACTTCTTATTTCCAATGAAACTGCTTTGTTCTTCGTTATTTCTATTCCTTCTGTCTCATATCTCTGTTTGCTGTCTCTAATATGCATTTCTCCTACTTTCTTCTCTTGCTTTGTGTGTTCCATGGAGTGTGGCGACTTGAACTGCCGCACATATGTGCAAAGTTCTATGTCAAAAACAGACAGAAAGCTTAAAGACAGATAGGGAGTGAATCGATAGTAGAGTGTGTTGACTATTTCACGTATTTGGGAAGTCTCATCATCCGTAATGAATGCATTGGTTGCTGACGAAATCTTCACACGGATAAAAATAATTATGTGGTCTCTGGCAGAGACGTTATTTCCTGCTGTCAATCAAAAAACATGTGTGTTGCTAACTAGATGGCTCCTTTATGGCTGTGTGATACGGCCTTTGGAAGTGGATGACATGAAAAGACTAGATGCCTTTGATCATAAGTGTCCGTGCTCTGTTTCCCGTTTTAGGTTATATAATAGAGTGGTTAACATTGGAGTTATATGAAGGGGGTGAGGTGTGTCGATTAAGTCAGTCCATGAGGTTATGCAGACACATAGATTGTGACTGCTAGGACACGTGCTGCAAATTCCGAGACATCGCCTTCCTCGACCGGCAATGTTAGCTGACATTGGATTAGGTTGGAGAAGAGTTAGTGGTGGTCAAACCCAAATCTGACACTAATCCATAAATTTTTTAACTGTTGGTACCAGCCACGTGGGGAATTATAAACTGCTTGGTTCAGGTCTTTTGAATGCTACGAACCAATGGCTGGAGACTGATGTTAACATGACTCAAAATCGTTCTCATTGCCACAAATGCCTTCACTCTTTGTGGTCTGGTATATCCATTAAACACCCATGTTTTTCTGTGTTACTATTCTTTTTTTCTCCGGCACACTTCTGCTTATTATAGTTATTTTAGAAACTCTATTTCGTCTTCTTTTGTGTGCTATATGAAATATGGTAACTTGAACTGATGCACTTCCGTGAACAGTACCATGTTGGAACTCATTCAGGAAATGTTTCTCATGATTGAACTCACAGTGTTTTTTGTTAAATAAGTGTTTATTATATAATTTTAATTATAAGAAAAAGGCGTAAACAGCGAAGAAAATTTTCCCTTTTTAACTATTCGTTTTCATGAACTGTACAATCGTAATTATTTTTCATGGAGGATTTCATGATAAGCTGACATCAGTTAGAGAACCACTGGAAAACCTGGGAGTACTGGACGGCTGTTTCGTCCTAGTTTGGGAGTTTTCAACAGTACGCACCCCTCTGAGTTCGAACCCCCGACCTTCTGGTTACAGGGCGAGCTCGTAGGGTACAGCAGGTTGAAGATGAGGTAGTAACTCATCGAAGAAGACATTGGGAAATGGTCGCGCTATATCGCGAATTGGCAGAAGTTAGAATTCAAGGACCATTAGATGGGGTCCCAGTGGCTCAATGGTCTACGAGCTAGCTCGCCTTTTAACCAGAAGGCCCTGAGTTCGAACCCCGGCGGTTGTGTAATGAGGAAGAGTTCCAAACTAGGATGAAATCGATGTCCAGTACTCCCAGGTTTTCCAGTGGTTCTCTATCTGATGTCGGCTAATGATGAAATCCCCCTTGCGATCATACAAAATCCCCACAAATCCAATACTTGTAATTATAATTAACAAAGAAATCTTTAGACCAATCAGATACTAGTTGACTTTGTCCTCGGAAAATGTATTACGCAATGTAAGGTGTAACCTAGATGGTATGACTAATTGTAAGTTAGAAAGGAGACAGAAGTTGGCATGACGTAATAAGTGTGAGATAATGACTAGTCAATAAGCTCGTGTAGAATGGATAGGAACTAGTAGAAAGGCAATAAAGTGTTTTTATATGAATTCTGTATGAAAACTAAATGTTATTAATAAACAGTAATAGAGTGGTAATAGAATATGGATGATAGGAATAATAATGATAATAAAATAATAGTAGCACTAATAATAATAGTAATAAACTTACATAATAAAAAACAAGAAACACAATTATAGTGAGAACTTTACTCTGGCCACGGTAGGGATGAGTGAATGTATGTAGCGCTTTTCAATGCAGAGGTCCGGTTTCAGATCCTGAATTTTAATTCAATTTTGATTTTCCCATTGTTTTATTGAACCGAAATTATTAGGCCTTTGTTGATATGTTGGCTCCTAATGCGGACGCTTTAACCATGTCTGAGGACTAACTTGAAGTAATTTGGTGAATGGTGACTAGCAGTGGATTCTACCAGGATGCGCATTTCATCCACACTAGGTGCCAACAGGTTAACAAAGGCCGAACAGTTCAGTCCAATCAGTCAACGAGGAAATTAAAATTGAATTCAAAATAAATAAGAATTGACAGCAGTTGCAGAAGAGATACCCTTCGTGGTATAAGTGGTTTAGTGGATAACCCTTTGGCGTTTTAAACAATGGGTACTGGGTTACAGTCTCAAAGGAAAATGTAGGTATATAATCATCTGAGGAGTCCCAAGTAGGGTGGAATGCGTATCCTGGTGGATTCCAGTGCTTATCACCATCCACCAAATTGCTACAAACCAACACTTGAATATCAATGAGGTGCTCACTAGGGAATTACCTTATTCAGGTAGGTAGTTACCTGGGGTTCTAGTGAGAAGTCGTGACCAGTAGGGTGCAGCAGGTCGCCGAAGACATTGGCTAGGGGTCGCGCTATGTCATTAATTGGCAGAAGTTAGAACTCATGAACCAATAGATCGGGTCCCAGTGGCTTAATGGTATACGAGCTTGCTTGCCTTGTAACCAGAAGGTCCTGGGTTCGAACCCCGGTGGGTTCGTACTGACGAAGAGTCCCAAACTAGGACGAAACGGATGTCCAGGACTCCCTGCAGGTTTTCCAATGGTTCTCTAACTAATGTCAGCTCATGATGAAATCCTATAACCAATCAATCAAATCCCTACAAACCAACAGTTGATTATCTATAATTATTTGTTCCCGTTAATCACAAGCACTATCTAGAATTCAAAATATTGTAGGACCAAAGTATACACCGATGGTGAGATTACAAATTACTTATTGGCTGGTATTTATCCTAGAACTTCTCACTGAAATGAAAGACTGTAATTAATTAGCCTACACAACTTTAGATTATCGATCAGTAATATTTATTGCACTTATTGTATCAAATAGATAACTGAAGTTTATTTTATCAGTTAATATGTCGAAAATATAGTTTTGATATGTGTCTTAGATGCCGTTGTTTGTTTTTTATTTGCTGACGTTCATTTAAAATGTGTACTGTTCTAACTTGTCTGTCAAAAAGTGGACTGTTTTTCTTCTTACCTAAGCAACACGTTACGACTTTAGTCTCTTTTTTGTTTTTTGTATTATACAGTTTCCAATTTCCAGTTGAAGCTGAGCACCTTCCTCTGACTATTTTAAGGCTTGATGTAAAAAATCATGTGGGTCGATTTACACGTAGTGGGAAAACACATTTTATGGGAACTGTGTGTATAAATCTTATTGATTCAGTAGACGGAAATGCTGAGACAAAATGGTAAGTGGCACTGTGGTAGACTAAAATTCCGTCAGAGAGTAGATTTATTTTGATAAAGTCTCTCAGTGTGTTATACAGTAGTAAAATTCACTGAAAAGGGAATAATGTCCAGTTTTCGAGATTATTTTCGAACATTTTATTTCTTTTGTTTTACTGACACAACACTCATCCTATTGACTGCCAACATTCGTTGTATTTCCCATCTTTATTACTTTACTACTTATTATTCCTTTATGCCCAGAGTGGAACATAGAATTTGAATCTAGAACTTTGAAGTTTCGGTAGCAGTGGTGTTTATTTTTATGCGATGGGATTTTTAGCCTCAAGCCCAACCTTCCCTCTTCACCGGGATTGCCACCGGCCAGGCGAGCTAAAGGAGTGCGTCTGCCGGGTATATCAAACCTCGTCTTATTATTCATTTGTTGTAATCACCATCTTATTCCCCACCCACGTACACTATTTTCCAACTTCGCTTATGTATATATGAGTAACCAGGTGAGTCCAAATGGTTTATTTCAAGGCTTAAAGCTAATAATGCCAGTAGAATATATATATGTATATGTTAGCATCAAAATACATAAACCAGGTTACCCTGCAAGACCAATAGTGGATTTCAGAAATACCACCCCTGATTATGAATTATCAAAACACTTAGCTTAGAACTAATATTATGTCCCATCAAAAATCGTTAGTAAGAAATGAAAAAGATACTAAATGACAATTAAACAGAAAATAATGACACTGTCTGTCTGTCTGGATTCAACGTAGAACTTGGCACCGAAGTGCAGCAGTTCGATTTGCCACGTTCCAAATATCACACAAAGGTAGACAAGAAGATGAGTGAAGAGAATCAATAAAGTTTTGACAAGTATAAGAATGACACAGAATGAGTAATGGTAGAAAGGAATATGAAAGATTACAGAGACTGAATACATCTGCGTAAGCCATTGACAACGATTTCGATCCATATCGCTTATTATCTCCAGCCATTGATTCTTAGAGTCCTGAGGGCCCCAACCCGAAAGTCTGCATCTCCCTACCTGATTCAGTTCAACTGTCAAGGATTTCATGGATTGATGCCATGTTTCTGTTTGGCCTCCGCTTACTCTTTTCCAACCTGCACATATATCAGCTAGTAATGCCCGTCGGCGGTGCGGGAGGCGATGGTTAGGCATGCACAGCACGTGACCTAGCCATTTCAATCTATGTAACTTTATAGCCTCGTCGATTGATTTTCCGAATAATCACACTGGGTTAGTTTTGATATTAACTAGTCCGTAAACTAAAATACGGATTAATATGGCCCTTGGAAGCAGTTGGAAAAGAACTAACTGCTGCCTCCGAACTTAATCATGAAAACGAATCTACCCATTGAAGAGATTATTTCACCGATTCAATTATACGACTGACTGATTTCAACATAGAACTTTGCAACACGCCATAGAACTTCGCCACGCTCCATATAGTACACAAAGCAAGAGAAGTAAGCAAAAAGAAAAGCAAAATGGGGATAGCAAACAGAGATATAAGACAAAAAGAATGGTAATATTGAAGAACAATATAGTTTCATTGGGTATTATAAGTCACAAGGAGTGAATGCATCTGCACCAGCCATTGAGAACGATTTTGAACCATATCACCAAATTTCTCCAGCCTTCATTGGTTTTTACCGTCTCGAGGACCCCAGTCAGGAAGTATACAACTTCCTACGCGGCTGGCTTAAGTAACTGTTGTGGATTTCATTGACTGATGAAGCCATGTTTTGGTTTGACCACCACTGGCTCTTTTACAGCGTAACCCTATGTCAGCTAACATTGCCCGTCGAGGGGGGGGGCGATGCCTAGGCACACCCGCGTAACACATGTCCTAACTATCTCAATCTGTGTAACTCCACAACCTCATCGATAGATTTCCCCTGCTTACCTAGCACTCAACGCCTAACCTCAATATCGCTCACCCTAGTATACCATTCCACACAGGAGATAGAACGCAGGCACCTATAATCAAAGACAGTCAGCTAGCCAGGCTTCTCATGTCTTCCACTATAAATGGCCGGGTCTCAATGCCATAAAGGAGGGCGGAATGGACTTCTGAGCAGTACACACACCCTTTGGTCGACAGCCAGCCAGATATCACGTCTACGCCAGAGACTGTGTAAACTGGCATATGTGAAACAAGCCTTCTATATTCGTGCTGAGATTTCGTCAACGATCAATCCGTTGGGGCTGATGCCGATTCACTTATGCCTCATATGCATTGTCTTTAAATTCCAGGGCGAAATATATGGACAAACAGAAGGTGTAGCATTGGGATCACTATTATCGGTAATCGTAGGAGATATCTTCATTGATAGTTGGAAAATTACTGTACTTTATACGCATTTCATCCTACTTAAAAGATACTGTGGAGATATGTGGATGAAACTTTCAACGTGGTACAAACAGAATATATTTTGAGTTTATTCACACGTATAAACTCAATAATAGAGGGGATAGAATTCTCATCTGTGTCAGAAAATGAATAAGGAGGATTGACTAGTTTAGACTGTAAAATAAAATGAACAGAAGAAGGCAAACTATGCACCAGCCTTTATAGATAGTTAACGCCTTCCAACAGATATTTAGACTTTAACTCATCTCATCAGTTATGCGTGAAGGCAGGCTTAGTTAAATATCTAACAAACTGGGCAGTAACATTAAGTAGTACATCAAAAAGTTGAAATGATGAAATGAAAGAGATAGAAGAAGCGCTGGTGTTAGGAAGATTAAAAAAAGGGTCAAAAGCATCTACAGTTTTACCATATAAGGAGGGGATATATGAAATCATTCGTAGGATTATTAATAAAGCAGGAATTATAGTCGCTATTAAACCTACAAACTCACTCACGAACAAGTTCTGTAGGCCCCTATTGACCTAACTAGACAAAATGTTATTTACAAAATACCTTGCAATGACTGTGAATTAAGTCAACTACATAGGTCAAACCAGTAGATCGGGGATAGTCAGACTATTAGAAAATATGAATTTAGCTGTAAGTGTAGAATTATTGATTTCACGATGATGAGTATTTTAGAAAGAGAGAAAAAGCTCAGCGACTGGGATGCATACATTAACACACCAGCAAACAATGAGGTGGGATAGAGTTATAATTCTAAAAAGTAATATAGGTAAGTGGAGAAAGAGAAAGAGGTTGATCACTGAATCTTTGTTCAATGAATCTATACCTAACACATACAACTGGAATAACTCAGCACCAATACCAGAAGTGTGGAAGACATTACTACCAATCAAATCGAGAGGTTAAAAATAATGGAATTATTTTTAAACTAATTTAGAAAGTTGTATGAGTAACTTTATATGATTATGAGTGGCAATAAATTGTACTTGGGACGTCATCAGTAAATAAAGACTGTGTTACACTATGCAACTTTATCAAAATTCATTCACTGCATGATGTGTAATAATTATTATACACGTGTATTGTTCACCAGTGATTATGTCGTAATAATAATTTTTTTCATTGAATCCCTCACAAATTGATAAAAGTAGAAAACCACTCAACTACTGAGACTTATCAGTAATGTACTTTAAAATAAATCAGTTGTGATAGAGAAGATTTGTACCTCAGGTGGATGATTTTGATGTGGTTGGGTTCTCTGAGCTGGATAGTTAATTTGCGAAGCTTTCATCGCCCTACTAGGCGACATCTTCAGCGCATACTTCAATTTGAAGTGAGCTTTTAGATTTCTCCACGAGTTTATTAATCATCTCTCCTGGCGACCTTGGACGTGATTGGTTGTTTTTGCGTGTTTTCACACCTTCTAGGTTAATTGTATTGGACCTGATTGTTTCTTTGACTTGAACTTTGACCCTTTGTGTGTGAGGTTTCTTTCCTATCGGTTGATAAATTTTGTCTATCTCGATGTGTCTATTGATTGATGATTCACTGGAATATCAGACAGGCTTCTAGAAATTCTCTAGCATTCTTGTTGTTTCCTCTGTCTAATATTTGAACGTTGGGTGTCCCAGTCGAATTGATGTCCGTGGTTGTCTGTATGTAGTGATATGATCGAGGGAGTGGATGTCATGTCTTTTGACGGCTAGCTTATGGTCGTGGATACGAAGACGAAGGGGACGTCCACTTTGGCCAATGTAGTGTTTTTCGCAGTTGCTACAATTTATTTTATAGATGACATTGGTTTTATCTTCTTTCGCTGTTGAGTCTTTTGGTTGACATAGAACTGAGTGAAGTGACTTTGTTGGTTTGTGTACGACGTCAATTCCTAAAGATTTGAAGAGTCTTGCAGTGATTTCTGAGATGTCCATTATATATGGTAGGGTGATTTTCTTTGTGCTTTCCTTGGGTGCTTTTGGTTTGATAGGTTGGATTGGGGGTATATGTCTTTTGATGAAATTCCGTGGATGTATATTCTTTTGGAAGACGTCCATGACATATCTTTCTTCAATTTTCAAAATTGAAAATGATAATAATTTTCAACTTGATTTGAAAATTTGAAGGTGTGAGTATAGATTACAAGGGTCTTAGGAACGAAATTAAACAGGATTAGAAAATAGTCTTCTATCGAAGACAGATGTAAACAGGATGTGAATAGAAAATGAAGGGAATGGAAAAAAAACACGAAAACTAAATAGGTAAACACAACTAGGTCCATGGTAAGTGTAGAAGTTAAACTAGTTTCTTATGTATACATAGTTCTGGCTTCTCTTTGCATATGACAAAAGCTTCTGCACTACAAAAGAGTCGGAAATGCACTGTTTTTTTTGTAGATTTTCGTTTATTTTGTAAATGATTCTGGATGATGAATCAGTTGAGATGCTCTGACTGGTGTTGACAAGGTGTGCAACTATAGCGCTTCTGATTAAACTAGTGTCTCCTCTTTGTAACCATGCTGGATATGTAATGTTTTCTAACATTTTTTGAAAGGATGCGTATAGAAGAACCTATGTACCTAGCTCCGCGCAACCAGGTGAACTGCTATATGCACATCTGAGTAGTCATATGTGACAGTTTGTGCTTCACATTGCTTAGAGACAGTGGATATCTGCAGAATATCACACCTAGTGTTACTAAGTCTTTTACCTTTTCCCACTACACCAGGAGTTCGAATGCATTAATGACCTTCAATGCATACATCTCGTGGGATAACGTCACTTACCACTATGATAATATCACGAGTAACGATTTGCACGAAATGAGGTGCAAATCTGACCCCAATTTCATTTTTAGACCTGTTTGGATACTGGGTTGATGGCTTTTTTAGAGTTAGGATTGGGGTTGAAATTAAGGTTAGAGTGTTTTCTTTTTATTATCTGTATTTTTGCCAGTAAATAGACTGTATTTTTATTTAAAATCACTGGTTATTCTGATTAGTTGCCTCAAGGTCGCTATTCTTTAACCTAGTTATCTTTTCAGTGTACTATTTTGTGTAATTTGCCTTTCTTTTTCCTTTTCAAGGTACGATCTAGCCTCACCTACTTTCCGCTAATAAAGAAGTCACCAGCTGTTTCACCTGTAATACGCGAACCTCTATTTCCCTCCTACTTACTCATTGTCATTCATTCATTAATACAGCTAGATATTTGTTGATATTCTAAAATCAATTTTTGCGCGCCTGCTTTCTAGAATCTAATATATTTATATATACATGTCTCTCACAGTTACTGCTTCCTTTCATCGACATCTGCTGATGTAAAACCTCTATAGACTGCATTAATTGACCTTCGCTTTTCATGTGTTTTTCTTTTTCCATCTGCCAATAATTGTGTGTATTTATTATATTTGTCATATTAATAAAAAGAAGTATCCTTAAATAAGAAAACTTTCTTCGTGATTCCCAGCGAAGCAGACCACAGGATTGGATAACTACATCCTCAGTTAATTTTCAGAATTCTAATGGGGACTTTAATTTGACACTAGTTAGTAACTAGTGTAATGTGTCTAGTTCTTTAATCCCAATAGCTCAGTGGTATAACGTCTGTGACTGCAGAACTGGATGACTCAGGTTCGAACCTCAAAATGGACGTGAGTTTCCTCAGTGTGTTGCAGATATGCCTTGTTGACTGGTGAGTGCCAGCTAGCACTAAACCTAGGTCAAAGGCTTCCGGTGGTCGATTGCCTCCAACTGTCTAATATTCAATGGAGACTTTGTATCTAATCTTTCCGTTCTATTTAGCATCTCGGTAGAGTTGGACATCTTTACAGGGTCCGCAAACGCTGAAGTGGTGGTTGTTTTGCGTCTGCTGTCTACGCTGGCATCAGTGTTCAGAGGCTTGTAAAGATTCGTCTGAGTGACAGCTGTTTGGTTATAATTAAATTTTTTTGTTATTCGAATGGTCCTGACATTTATACTTTGTGATAACTCAACTGGCTTTCGTAACCAGCAATAATAAGCTAGAGAATAAGCCCTATACATTTAACCAAGTTGTACTAGGTCGGTACAAATCTACTTCCACTACCGAGAGGTCGAGGAAACTGAGTGTTATCAAGCTAACATGAGTCTAGATTAAGAGGACCAAAGCCGCAGTTTAAAGGATTACTAATTATTAGAGCAGCCTAAATGAAAGCGTCTTGTCATCATCACAGATTTCCTCAGGGTGATCACCGAAAGAAGGCGGTACTCTTACTTCATTCTAGGCCGCTTCTTTTCATGTTTGCCATCTCCGTGACGTCTTATCAGCAGTTGTAGCTACAGCATGCTTTGAAAAGGAGAGTGGCATCATTACTTTGTGAATTAACTTCTGCTATTGTTGTGTATATCGCGTCAGGAGCTTTATGGTTGACTTTAACTGCTTTAATTGGTTGAAGTATTGTTTTTTGTGCACTTTTGTAACTCTTTGTATGGTTCTTATATCTCTATATTTAGGTATTTGTCTGTTTACTTTAAACAGCTTATACAGACATTAGTCCAACTAATAGCTGTGGACGACCGTACTGCCACATTCCCGTGGATGATGTGATGCAGTGTGATAACTGCAACCTATGGTTTCATAAAGTTTGCACTGGCTTATCACCATCAGCCTATAGGAGATGGGTGGGTGTGCAAATTTTGTAGCAGCCCGTTGGACGTCGTCATCTAAGAGGCCGTAGAACTTCTAGTGTCCGAGAATCGACAAAAACCTCAGATGAAGGGAAAAAGCCAGCATCTGGAACCGACGCCCAGAATGATGATTCTGGACTGAGTAATAAGACTAAGATTGAACCACATATTGAAGTGGAAGACACAAGAGAGGTAGAGTGTGCTCAGAAGTCTGCAGCTACACTCGAAAAGTCCCGAAAATCTAAAAGGGTAAACACTGCCAACACTGTAAGACCGCCGGGTGATACTAAAAAGACGGAGAGTTGCATGTCTGGCGAACGGACGACTTCTAAATGTGGCGAGAGCAAAGTGGAAGTAACTAATTCCACTTCGTTAGTGCAAAAGAAATAGGAAACTGAAGAATTATAGAAAGGAGAAAAGGAGTGGGCCTAGTGATAAGGTCCCGACAGCCGTAAACCTTCGGACTCAAATAACAGTATCGTAATTCGAACTTGGAGGAATCAAAAAAAGTAGATGCGGCTGCCCAACATGCTGATGATCTCGAGGCAGTTAGCTCCATGGAACACTTCCTGAAAAAAATGGAGTTCACATGACGAAAGTCATCAGAGTCGGTTAACGATTTGCCGATACAACAGAAAGTTCCCCACGACTGCTGCAGCTTCCCAGGACGTTCCTCTCTTCCTGAAATAGCGTTCAGTCACGTGGTGGTGTGGCACTCACCCAAATATATGCTGTTCACTGGTGGACCACAACTATCAGCAGGAAACGGAAAGAGGTTTGTGTTGTCGCTCAACTTTGATGGTGACCTTAGTGAAGGGTTTACAATTTGACATTTATAAGAACCTGTTGTGATTGCTTGTACAATAATTGAGCAATTTAAACTTTTGAAAAAGTATTAATTTATGATACTTAAGGATTGTAATTTATGACATAACTGATCGTGCCTGTAAAAATGGCATGCATTCCTTGTGAACTTGTTCGTTTATACGAAGTAAAATTATTATTATTATTAAGATAGTACTGGAAGCGAGGTGGAGAAAAGCATTACTCTCAACAAAGCATTCAAGATCAAGGACAAAAACATGAGAATTAGACCCGGCTGGCCTCTGGAAGATAGAATTAAGAGAAGGGAAGCTGTCTCCTCCCCAGGAAAAGGTGAAGATCTCAAGCTATTGGGAAGCTCATGTCGCCCGGAATTCTGCTCATAATTCGAGTGAACACATAGGTCTCTCAGTATGTTATGGGAACGCATGTGGTCTTAGGAATAAGCTTCCTGAACTAGAAACGTTGTCTGAAGGACGTGTTTTCTATCACCGAAACATGGTTGTTTGTGGGTGTAGACTTAACTCCACTCATACCTGGGTACGTCTGAATTAGAGCGGACAGAGTAATTAGTTGAAAAGGTAGGGGGTTGCCCTTTACATCCGGGATGACAGGAATTAGAACAGCGTTGTCGGAAGCTCATGACAATGGCACTAGTGAAGCCACACTGTGACAATTGGAGTTATTTATAGAAGTCCTGCCATCCAAGCTGAAGATTTCGTACTAAATCACCTCAGGACGTGGAGTAGTAGAAATGGGTGTCTAATAGTATGTGACTTTAATGCCCAACATAGTAATTGGGAGGAATTAACATCAGCTACCTTGTACACTTGTTTCAACAGGGAACTCATACTGACAGCGCTTGAGTGCGCACTTGTGCACCGTATACATGCACCAACACAATACCACCCTGAACATGATCCGTCCGCTCTAGATTTGGTGCTTAGACACCAGAAGGAGGATGTCGGTGAAATTAGGTGCCTGTCACTGCTAGGCAGTAGTGACCATATAGCTATAACTTTTATGTTTAGGATTCACGCTGTCATATATAGGTCATTAGCTACTCGTCCAAACATTTGGAAAGCGAATATACCTGAAATCCGAAATGCAGCAACCCTAACTGACTGGTCTCTTGACACACACCAGACTGTCGAGGAGGCTTGGATGGGATTTAGGAATACACTAGATTGCATCACTGCATTCTTTGTACCTTGGTCAACGCTTTGAAAACTATTGAATAAGCCACCTTGGATTAGTAATGAAATAAGTAGCTTATTAAATAAACGAAAGAACTTATGGGACTGGGATGGAATACCACAAAATTTAGAACCTTTGTAAGTATAAGATTGACAAGTCTTAAAGAGTATGAGGGACAGTTAGTATTGGATTGCGTGCGTTATCCAAAAGGACTTTACTCGTATATCAAACGCAGGACTAAAACTAGCAGTGGTACACCGTCCCTCATTAGCGATACTGGAGAGCCTGCCGAGTCAGACAAAACAAAAGCTGAGAGGCTCTCCGAATACTTTTGCGATTTTTTCTCGCCTAATCGTACCACTCAGGGGTGTAGCGAGTTCACTGATTTAGCCACTAAAATGCTCACATTGTGTTAGAGGATGTGGTAGTTATCAAAGTAGCGTCTTAGCTGAAGCCAGGTTAATCACCTAGACCTGATGGACTTCACCCTAGGCTGTTAATCTCCTTGACGGATATAATAAACATTCCACCTATGGAGATTTTTCAAATGTTCTGACCCAGGCTAGGCTACCCAAAGCCCCATCTTCAAAGAGGGGAACAGGCAGTTAGTATTTAACTACCGGCCTGTAAGTCTGACCAGAATTATAGCAAAGGTGCCAAAAACACTCATAAGGGATCAGCCCTTAACTCATATGGAGAAACATGGCCTACTGGCAGTGGAACAGCATGGATTCCGACCAGAACGATCTTGCTTGACAGACTCACTGTTTACTAGGGAAGACTGGGTGGAAGTCAGGAATAAGAACCATCTACTGGACATTGTCTTTATCGATCTTAGTAAAGCATTTGATAAGGTACCCCATTTAGGTCTTCTTCTTAAGCGTTTTGGATTAGACAAACGCTTATATGAGTGGTTTAGCGACTACCTGATGGATAGAAGGCAGAAGGTAAGGGTTAATGGTGTACTGTCAGGGTGGAACGCAGTACTAAGTACAGTACCTCAGGGAACCCTACTTGGCCCTGTTCCTATTATACATAAATGAAATGTCGAAAATTCTTACCCCACCTTCCTTACTATTTGCCGACGATATTTGGATATGGAAAACTGTGAATAGTAATGGTGATAAGTTGGTATTACAAAACGATCCAGAAAACTAACTGAATGGGCTAACCTCTAGAGTTTGGAAATTAATTCCAAGAAAAGCGTGGTAACGCGACTAGGTTACAGGTCTTTCATGTCATACTCCCTGGGGGACACAGGACTACCAGATGTTAAGGGACAAAAGGACTTAGGAATTATCGTATGCCATGACTTAAAAACAACGGTAAATTGTAATGTAGCCGCAGCTAAGGCTTTTCGAATGCTATGGGCACTTCGAGTGTATGTTCCAAGTACTCTATGGAACATATCTCAGACCTCATCTAGAATACTGTATACAAGCAGTGAGTCCATACTTCAAAATGGATGAACACATCCTGGAAAGAGAACAGAGGGCAGGAACTAAATCAGTTAGTGGTAACTCACACCTCCCTTGAGATAGGAGGGTGTAACATTTAGATCTCTACCCATTATCATACCGCAGGAAGAGAGGCGACTTAATTTTTGTATGTCGTATATTATGTGGGGATTTAGGGATTGACCTTTCTAACCTTTTCTCTCCCTCTAGGATACATTTACGCGGTCACCGCTAGAAGGTGCTCAAACCCTGGTCGAAAATAATACGAATGGTACTTAGATTCTCTCACAGAGTGGTAAAC